CATTTTTCACGAATACTATCTTGGTCCTCATAAAGAGCATATGATCTCTACTTTTGAAGCACCCAGAAATAGAATGTGTGGTGGGTAAAATTTTCCAGTTTTGATCTGTTTCATCCCACATCTCTCTCAGGATACCTGCTTTACACATGTTGCTGTTATGCATTTGGGTTATAAAAACTTTTAAGCCATATCTTCATTGGGTTTCTAATTTTTTGTATATATATCATGTTTGGTCTCATATATGCTTATTGGCTCTGAATCAGGACTGTGTGATAGTGTCATGGTTTATGTCTGTGCCCCAGGCCTCATGAGTTTGCACTGTGTATTTGTGATTGGTTCATTGTCTAGTGCTTGGATTGATGGTGTCAGGCTCCACCCACATAGGGGTGGAGCCAGGATGTGATGTAATGGCAGGAAGAAGGTATGTCTTGCTCTTTGCTGGTTCCTGTTTGCTGTTTGCAGCTGCCATGAACTGCGGCCCAGCCATGCCCAACTGCCTTGGAGTCAACTGAGTGTGGACTGAAACCTCCAAAAACTGTAAGAAATAAACCTTTCCTTTCCCAGCTTTGGGCTTCAGGTATTTTGTCTCAGTGATGAGTAAAAAGTAACTAAGACAGATAGTAAGGCCACAACCTCTGCTTTACCCTTGTTACTGCTTTATGTGTGTGTGTGGGGGGGGAGAGTATGAGGCTTTATCTGAGTAGAATTTTGATCTTCATTTCTTTTAATTTCAATCACTTGCATTTTGTCTTTAATGCACTTGAGGATCTTTTTAAAAATATGATACCTTAAAAAATGTATTGATTGAGAAACATTTTTCTCAGTTATTTACAGGGTGTGTGTGTGTGTGCTCTGCTCTAGGCCTGGTTTTCTTTGCTGTGTCTGTAAGTGTGTGTGCGTGTGCTCACACAGGTGTGTTTAGGAAATCACTCACTTATGGGTAACTTTGCTTTCTGGTGCCTCCTTTTGTAATTACAGCTTTGTCTAATGCCCTGGGTCCTCTCCAAGTCATCATCCACAGTGGACATTGGTGTGAATTCTTTTCTTTCCACACTGCATTTTATTCATTATCATATTTTGTTAAACATTACATTGCTTAGTGCTTACATTTGCATAATTGCACATGCTTTCTCTACTACTTACGTTGGCTTTAAATGTCATTTACTGATGGGTGTGTCAGTGAACTCATCCTAGTAACCACGACCTCCAGTAACCTGTACTCTGTTCTACATACCTGTGACTTGTGTCATTTCTGTCTTCTCAAAGCCTATAACATTCATTTTTTAATGTCTCAATTTTACAGAACAAATATATTCACTGTATACCACCAGCCCTCCTGACACTTTCCTTAGACTTGCTCCTTGTCACTTATTCTGTGACTTCTAATGTTTTAAAATGATGATCTTTGTAGGTGATGCCCAAGGGTAGCCTTCCATTACACTTGAGGATGGCATGTCTTATCCCACTAGGGAATTAGGATTTGAGTGCTTTACTGAAGGAGACTGAGAGTAAGTTGACTTATTGTTTCTTCTAAGAACATTTTCTTTTTGTTTTAAGACTTCTTTTTTATATTTAAAAATTGGTATGGTATGAATAAAGGGAATCTGAACAAATATGGAATGTAATCATTATTCCTTGGCATGTGTCTTGTTTCAGCCTTTGTGAATCAGTGATCTCTAGTACATAATGTTTATTTTCAAACTGTAAATTGAAGGTTTTTTTCAATATCAGCAAAGTTCTTTTTATAATTTAGTTTCAAAACATTTTTTCCCATCTACCGACAAGGTCCCTCTTTTCAGAGTCTCACTTCTATGTGTGTTGGCTCTGTATGCATTTTTGAACCACTATCATTGTAGCACAAATACTTAAAATATTCCCTTATTTTTCATTTAATGCTGACCACTCTCCTTGGATCTGTCTTCATGATCTTCTGTTGGCCACAATGGTTAGCTGCCTTTGCATTTTTTCCAACACTATCTTGATTTCTAGGATGGTTTGTTTTTCTTCTTCCTATTTTATTTTTATCAGCTAGATTTTTCCTCCTCATCTCTTACCTGAATTTTTTGTGTTTTCTTTTTTTTTTTTTTTGGATCAGAGATCAAACTCATGACCTCACACTTGCCAGGCAGGCACTTGTGCCATTGAGCTAAACCTCCAGCCCTTTCTGATCTTCTTTAATGAATTATATCACTTCATTAGTACAGTAGTGAACTTGCTTCCTTTAGAAAGATGGTGTCATGTGATAATTGAAACCATATAGTCTAGACTATGACCTCCTGAATCGGGCTCCTCCTCTAACTTACTTGCCCTTGAATAAGTTACTTACAACCCTGCGTTCTCATCTGCCTATGGTGGTGAGAAATGATACTTAACTCACAGAGATGTGTTGAGAAACCACTAAGCCCACATCTGCCCAGCAGTTACAATACTGCCTGGCAACGGTAAGAGCCGTGTAACTGTGATTTTAGGTTTATGACAGTGATTTGTTACAAAACTCATAGCTGAAATTTTCATTGCCTCTGTGGCCACACTTTTTTCCAACACTTGATAAATTCTGATACTCCTTTTCAGGATTTGTTTTTTCTTTATAGTGTTTTGGTATCTGTCTTATGCCAGTTTCTTCTTTATTACTATTCCTGATTAAACAAAATTTTTCTGGTGAAAGTCTTTGGAGAAAGTTCTGGAAACAGAGGCTTCAAGGTAGCCTATCAAACCCAAACTTTTACATGGTATGAATAAAGGGAATCTGAACAAATATGGAATGTTTGAAAGAGCAGATACTTCCTTTTATACATGCCCTGTGTCACTGCCTCCCACCCTGCTCTAGCTGTATTTGTATGACTGGGGTTAGCAATGGCACATTAGCAACTGTGATACACAAGACTGGGGGGCAAGAGCATGAGGCCTGGCCGGCCCTTGCTTCTGGGCATGCAGCTGTACCCAAGTGAAAATGTGCAAGCAGCTTCCTGCGAAGAGACCCTGGGGACATGCAGAGACCCTGGGGGCCACACAGACCCAAGATGATCCATCCATGCTGGACATTCGGTCTGTCATCTCCCCAACTGGGAGGCAGATGGGAAGCTTTTTAACCCAGCCTTCCAGGGGGTTATTATGGGAACAACAGATTACAGACCTACTTGTACTGCTGTCTCCAGAACAGGCTGCCTCCAATAATTCTGTGAATGCTCACCTCCAACAAGTGTCGGAAGTGACATAGGTCCAGTACCCTTTCTGTCATTGGGTCTCAGCTTCCCACTTCTTAGAAACAAGGCTCAGGGCTTCCACCATACGGAGAGATTTTAGCATCTTGAGGCCTGCAGGTTTGCTGTCCCTGAGATCCCCTGCAACTGTATTCCTGGAACCTGTGTCCTCTCTACATCCCTACTGGGCAGCTCTCCTGCCTTACTCCTGCAGGCTTTCGAGGCTCAGCAATCACCTTTCACGGTATGTTCTGTATTCCTGGGAAATGTCTTTGCTGGCATCTCCAAAGCTGGCTCATTTTGCCTTTCTCTGGGCCTTTTTCATGTGACTGCTGCCCAAACTCAGCAGTTTTTTTTGTATCTTTATAAGAAACAGTGGAATTTGTGGGTAAAATCTGTGTAAGCTTACGGGAAATAGCATTTAACTCCTATCTCAACCCCTGTCTTTTCTCTTTGCATAATTTCTAGGAAGAGACAGGAAAAATAGCTGACATCATGATTTTACTGGACTCTATTTAATGCTTCCTGCAACAAGAACCCTTCGGATGTATTTTCTGAAGATGAGGTAAGACCCTTAACAACAGTAGTCACCAGGAATGTGTTTCAGAGTTTCCGTACTCACTGAGGTGGTTGCTCAGAAGGGTTCCTTAGATTAAATCACAGTTCAGATTCCCATCCACAGCACCCTTGGGCAGTGGTCACCCTACAGTTCATAGTCTTATGATTGGTCTATGTTTACTAACTACGATTGGCCTATGACTACACTGCAGGAGGTCCTTGGCTTCCCTCCAGACCTCCACCACCTAGGTACTTCTCATCTGGAATTGGGGCTCAATTCCGGGTGATGGAGCAGGTGAATATATAGCATCCCAGCCATAGGCCCGGGCTTCTTCGCCCCAGCAGTGCAGAGCAGGAGTCTTGCAGGTCCCAACATGCTGACTGTCACTTCCTTGGCAAGCTGGTCCTTTAATATGCACGTCATACGGGGTCATATGGGAAGGAATTCCTGGCCCCATTCCTCCTCCGGCTAGGTAAGGCGGCTTCCACTCATGTCACCCGCGGCGTGTGTCTCTGCAGTGCGGGCCCTGTGTTGTCCATTTGGGGGCTTCCATAGCTATTTCTTCCGCCAGACGCTGGCGGTTGGGTGCAGGGCCTTGCCCTGGTCTTGCCTGTGCTCCTGGCCCTGCACCTGGAGCTGGTTCAGCACAAATAAAGGGCGTGGCCTGGTGTTCCCCGCGTGGAAGTGAGAAGCAGGTGAATGCAGTCCCCTCTGGTCTCCAGCTTGTTAAGGGGCTCCATAGGCGAAGTTATCCATTGCTCTTTCTCTTCGGTTCCTCGCCAGCATCCTTCTCCTTTTCTGTGGCTGAAAAGATTTGGACAGCTGGGGAAAAGAGGACCTGTGCGTGCCTGTATTTGTCTCCTGGCCTCTCTTGTACATGCACACACACATGTGCGTGCACACACACACTACAGGCACGCACATGTAGGCTCACACACTCGCTCTTGCAGGACACCCCCCCCCCACCAGCCGGGTGCGTCAACACTGGATGGTGCCTGTCTCTGGGGCCCCGGGCTCCCTGGTGAGGGGACCCACTCCCAGCCTGTCTGGGGCCAGCTCCTCGGGTTGCTGTGTCTGCCTGACGCGCCGACCCCGTGTGGTCCCTCTGGAGTCCTTTGTGCAACAGGAGAGCAGGGAGCTCCCACGCCATTCGCCCGCTGCTCCACCCCTGCGCGCCCGTCCCCTCCCCCTCGAGCCGCCCGGCCGGGGCCTCGTATCCGAGAGCGCAGGGGACCTCGCGGGGTGGGCGTGGAGCCGCGCCGCTGGCGGCTATGAATGGGGGCGGGCGGGCGCGGGGGTGCGAGGTTCACCCCGGGGCTCTCCGCTGCGCGGCTGATTGATGGACGCGCGGGGCTGTGCGTGATCCCGGCTCCGCAGGCGAGGGATGCAGCGAGCGCCGGGCGGCTGAGGCTGCTCCGCAGAACTCCCCAGTGCGGCGCCCGGAGTGCGGCGGGGCCGGCGAGGTAGGTAGGGGCCCGGGGCGGGCGAGCGGGGCGGGCTGCACGGGGCGGGCGGGTGGAGCTGCCGGGGGACAGCGCGCTCGGGCACCTCGTCCTGCGGCGCGGCCACATTGTCCCCCGCGCGCGGGCGAGGGCAAGGGCGCAGCGCGCACAGCCGGTGCCCCGGAGCGGGGAGCTCGGGCCAGCGGGGGCCTCCGAAGGGAGCGGAGCCGAGCTGGAGCCCCGATTTCTGCCCCACGCGCCTCTCTCTGGCTCGTGAGCCCCGCTGGCGTCCCCGGCCCGAGTAGTGGGCTCCGGTCCGCCAGGGCAGCCGAGGTAAGCGCTGCGGGAGCCTGCGGCGTCGTCCTGCAGCACCGGCGATGGCCACGCGCGAGCGCGCGGTGTAGGGGCCGAAGGGACCCGGGGGCCGGCGTCGTGGTCGTCTCTTGCAGTCCATCCGCAAGCGAGCCCCTTCCCGTCGCCTCGCCGGCCCTGTCTCTGTCCTCCTCCTTGGACCTCTTGGAGGGAGGGTCCCCAGGAAAGAAGGCAGCCGAGGCAGGATGCAGAGGCAGGAGGGTCGCGGCTCGCAGCCCAGCGGTGGCGATGGCATTGGGCCCCAAGATGGACTGCAGGCGGCGGGAGCTGGCGTCCCAGGAGTTTGTGGGTCCTGCTGTCCGGTGACAGGGGCATCCGATGGGCGCGCGCTTCCTTGGATAAGGAGAGAGGAACTCCTGCTCTCTCTGCTGGGTGGTGCGGTCCTGGACGGGCTCTTCCTAAGGCTCCAGCATGGGGATGGAGATCCCCTCCCACTCACCCTGTCCTGCTTGCTTTATTTTCTCTCCCCTCTTCCTGTTTTGCTTCCTTTCTTCCTTCCTTTCTCCCCAGACCAACTTCCTTGTCCCTTGCTTGACACAAAAATCAGAACTGTTGCCAACAGGTTAGAGCAAGCTCCTAGCTCCTTGGTGTGTGTGTTGCATACACATGACACACACATGCTGGAAGTAATATTTAAGGTAGACTCTGACACACTCGCTCGCATGACATCGCGTGGACATTGCCGGAGGAGGCTGCTGCCCACAGAAGCGGGTTCCCTGCGTCCTGCGTCTGAGATCTGAGTGAGAGGAAACCGCTCCGCCTGCCGTGGGCACCTTTTCAGTCAGGTTTCCAGCAGCTTGAAAGTTCCGGATTCTAGCACAAGAATCACAGGCTTAGTAAATTAGAGTTAGAATGAAAAATAATAAAACTCCAGATACTTTTTCTGTGGATCACCCTCCCCTTTTTTAAAAACTAAAAGCAGTCATTATGCCTGTACTTTTCAAACAATCGAAAGCTATTAAAGAACCTAGAAACGTTTTCTTTATGACCTGAGGAAGAGGAAGGGACCTGGAATTGAAGAGCCCAGTGGATCCACTCCAGGGAGGAGGAAGTTCAGCTTGATCTTCTCAAGCCCAAAGAGAGAGACGCTTAGTGTTGACAGGTGACCTCTGCATAACAAGTCCTCAGCCAGTCCTGCGTGCTTGGCAAGTGACATATTTTGCTGTATGTTTCCATTGTTTTCTTTTCCAAGTCGGCAGAATGCTGTTTTGTTCATTCACAAGCAGTGAGTAAGCGTGCAGTGGACCGGAATGGTTGAGGTGGCCCGATGGATGCATGAGCTGGTTCATCTGCTTACCTGTCTTCTCTCTGCGTTCCTAGCGGTCTGGCAGCCTGCCTTCTGCTATTTTTCTCAGCCGGTTTGTTTTACAGTTTACTTCGAGCTTGCCATATTGTGCAGTGATGAATTACCTTAAATTTCTCTAGAGGGTGTCTACTTGGACATGCTTGTTTGCTTTTATAATAGGGTTTGGTTTGGATTTGAGGAAGAAGAAATCAATCACGTATGGTTTTCTGAACTTGGAGCCCTTTGCTCATTTAGAAACACGTATTTACTAACAGGTGCTATGTGTGTACAAGTCAGGACTTATTTGGTAAAGACTCTGGACACAGATACAATATTTTCATTTTGGATTACAAAATGAACATTTAAAATCATGGAGAAATAAAGACTCCCAGGTTGCTTTAAATATCTTATTTCACTTCCTCTGGCTAAGAAGCAAGAAGTGGATGGAACAGTCTTGGGTTGGAATGTTTTGGGAGTCGGTAGTGCGTTTATCTTTTCTCACCCGTTGTTCTTCCTAAGTAATTCGGGTGGGGTGCTGCTGATCACAAGACCATGGGTTCCTGTGAGCTCGGCATAGTAGCCATCTTCTAGCAGTAGGGTGGGCACTGTGATGTGATGCTCTGTTTACAGAGGACTGTCGCTGGGAATGGCCGAGCTGAGGTGCCCCACTGTCCAATGTCGCACCCTTGCCTGGGCAGCTCAGATCCAATGACTGACTCGTATCAACGTCCAGCGTCTCACCATAACATGGATAAATCTGGAGGGTGACTGGAGTGGGATTTGCATTGAGCCCTCTATTCCGTTTGCCCATTTCTGCCTTTTCCTTATCCATCCTCAGGGGACCAGACCAAGGCAGTCTGAAGACAGTGCATGTTGGACTTCCTGTCCGAGCTGGTTTGTCCGGAAGCAAGCCAGTCACGATGCCCCTTCCTCACGCTCTCCCTTGTTTAGTTTGAACCCATTTGTCTTCTGAATTATGATGTCACATCTCTTGGAGGACATCTCCTCTCCCCACTCTTCCATCATCCTGTAGTTGATCATTCTTTTTGACTGATTGGATTAATTGAATTTCTTCAGCCTCTGTCTAGTGATTTGAATATTATATATCCAATGTCTATGCCTAGTGTTTATTTTTATGTTTTTAATACTCATTTTGACTTAGATGAAATAAATCACAGTATCTGTTCTTCCCTGAATGGTATAAGGCCCTGGTGGTGTTACCTTTCTGAATATTCCCTGTATTTCCCAATGCTGTGGGAATGTAGTTCCGCCACATTTTATCCCCCAGTGCCAGTTTTTGGGTCATGGCCTTTTCCTCTGATTATATGTACAGTCAAGCTATGTTAAACTTACCCACTTTTGGATTCAAATTCCTTCTCATGGAAATAGTTCTGTGCTAAGCATATACAAATGATGAAAATCTACTGTTTTTCTAATTTGTTTATTTGTTTGAAATTGTGTTTCATTGTAACACTTACATATCAGATTATCTCTGGGAGCAGAATCCTAAACTGAGGATGATTTTATTTTTTTCTCATAACTTTGATGATACGTTAGCCCCTGTGGTTGATTGCTTCTTGGCTGCACTGAAGGCTCTTCTTTGTGTTTGGTGTTGTGGGTGCAGTGCACCACTGTGGGCACATGTGGGTTTGTGTTTATGGCTCCTTTGTGGGGTTCCCTGTGCTTCTGTCATCAGGTGACTCTTGAGTTTATTGTTGGAAATTTGAGGGTTCATCTCGCTGTGTATTGTGTTTTCTCTGTCTGCTCTGCTGTTTCCTCTGATGTTCTTATTAGACTTATATTGGACTTGCTTTTTTAAATCTCCCATGTCTATCACATCTGTATTACATTTTATTAAAATATTTTTATGAAGCATCTAGGTAATTATTCAGGGCCACTTTCAGCTACGAGTTATGCCCTTATTGCTCCTCAGGTATTGTTGAAGTTGTCCTTTGAGCTGTGACTTATTTCTTCCTTGGGAGAAGCACCATAAAGTGCCTCTTCAGGCCGCCTGTTTATCCTCATAGTTTCCTATCCTTTTCTTTTTTTAATAGATTCCATCCTCCCTTTTGTCATTTCTTTATTGAACCTGCGTTTATTTTATAATCTCTTTCAGATTGTTCTCTTACTTGAAACTCTTCCAGGAGCCCTTCATCCTAATGGTTCGACCTGCAGGTTTTTCTAGCCCTAGAAATCCTGTCAAGTGCACTGTCTTCTTCCTGCGAGCTGTTATTTGAATTAACAACTTCCCTTCCGCTGGGTTTCTGTTTCTGCCTTTTCTCTCTGCTGACTTTCTTTCCCCAGTCCATTCTGCTGTGTTGTTCGGGCTAGATGCCTGCTGTTGACCCATCCTTGAGTTCCCTATTCCCTCTGTCACCTGTGCTGTCCGGTCCTGACTGTTTCATTCTGGATGAGTCCATGTTTTGGCACTGTAATTTCTCTGGGCCTCCTTTGATAGCTTATGCTTCTCTGCTGAGATTTTCTATGTTTCCTATTGTCTCTGGGGAGTTTGTATTTGCTTGTGGAAGCATTTTTGGTAACGGTAATTTGTAGGTCTTGTCAGGTGATTCCAGCGTTTACTTCATTGCCCTGCTGTCCTGGGACTACTGTCTCCTTTCATTCAAACTGTCATCACCGCCTGGACCTTTTGGGTATCGTCTTAGGAGGTCCTGGTCCCCTTTAGGTTTAGTGCACAGGTCCTGGCTTACTTTGCAGGCGGTGCTGTTGCCAGAGGCTGTCGGGTGATATTTTAGTATGCCTGGTTTATTTGCCTCCTCTTGCAGAAGGAATCTGTCCAAGTGGGGTCACGTGGTACCTGTGGGTAGGCGAAGGGTTTTCTTGGACTGTAGACAAGAGGAGCTCTCGGGCCTGGGGCTTGCAGTGGCCACTGCCAGTGCTTTGGGGCCACCTGGTGTTGTTGGCTGGACCTCAGTTAGATACAGTGGCAAAGCAAACCAACCTGGACGTGGGCTATGGGAGTCTAGGTCTGAAGACCCTGGTAACTACTAGTTACGGTAGGGAGTTGGAAGATAAACGCTACTGCTCTGTTTTTCCTATGATCTAGGGGTCACTAAATGATCCCCCACCCTGTTCCCACTGCTCTGAGTCTTTCTTTGGATGGCTTTCGCTTTAGTTCCAGGGTTTAATAGTTGTGCTCGGAGCGGAAGCTGGGGGAGATGAATGTGTATGTCTTGTTTGGGCAAGAATTAAATAGTCTGAAAAACTCTGGTTTAATTACTCAGACACATTATCTATGAGTTTAATGAAAATACTAGCTTTGATTATATAATGTGTATTGGTTGCAGAGACATAATACAAATGTCTGTTGAAAAACTTATTTACGCTAAATAATATTACCATAATT